GTGAAATCTGAAAAGATACGCGTGGCAGAAGTGCGTGTCTGTTCGAGGAGCAAGCATCCTTTCCATTCTTTTTTCGCGTGTCAAGCTTTTCCTTTTAATTGTTGGTGAAAGTGTATTGTGCATATTCTTTATTTCGGTTTTATGAGAAATTTCGATTTGGTTTTATATTAATTCCAACTATACATTGCTTACTTCTCCGTTCATTCTTGTGCTACCTTTTGCCATCATCTCCTTTCATTCATTTTTGTCTTATTTTACTAACTTAATCCTTTGTAACTCCACGTGACCTGGAAGTTTTACGTATTCATTTATCTATATTTTACACTCTCATTTTATTTGTTTATTGCCTTATATTATTATCAGCCAAGTTTTTTATAATAATTACTAAACAATTTTTATTCTTACTTTACAGTATTTATTACACTTATCCTTGCTTCTCCCATCAAAATATTAAATCCTGGTCAACCATAATTTTGTTTTTCACGAGCGAAGAAAAATACCTTATTTCTTTCATTACTATCCTACTTATCTATCTCTTTCTAATTACCCTATCTTACCTTCTTTCCATTTTCTCCTTCCCTCTCTCCTTCAACTTTCTGTCTTCTGTCTCACGATATCCTCTATCCATTTCCCTAATCGTTGTTGAAAGTAAAAATGTGTACCGACAAGAGTGATTTGCAAATTCAACAATTGAACATTCAGGTTTGATCGTTCTCTCGTTGAAAAGTGATTTTCCTTTCGATGAAAGGAAAGAATAGGGAGAGAATTTGTTCATGTCCAAGAGTGAAAAAGTTCTTGTGCCATACTTATTGGAAAATATTGTCTGCTGTACGAATTTCATGGGAATTTCGCATCTAATGCAGCGATGTTATTTTCACAATGGTTGTCTGGGCGATCGGAAAAAGTTTCGACAGAGGAGTTTCAGAATGTTGCTTAAACGAGTCTTAATAACTAAAGGTTACGAGCCCTTAATTAACCTTCATTGTCGGTGGAATCATATTCTTTCTTCGAATCGAAGTGCGAGATTCTCTTAGGAATTTTTTACCAATTAAAACAGTTTATTTTTACGTGCAAATTTTTTCCACAGAATTGAGGGGAAAAGCGCCCGAGTTAAGAAGAATTTAATGTATAAATCATTGCATCGATTTTTATTATATTTACAGAATAATTCATTCTCCCCTCTGTGCTAGACTCCCAGATTTTCAGGTATTGGAGTTATTTCTAAAGTTTCTTTTTATTATATTATATGTCAAGTAATTTGTTCGAATATTTATTTAAGAGTATCGTTTGCAGCTAAGTGTTACATTTTGCTGAATTTCTTGGAGATAAATTAATAAAAAGTGTGATATCTATTCCCTTAATTAATGTATTACAGCGATGGTGAATGATTTTTTACATAATTTTGATATTGCTTTCGAAAAGAATGAACAACTAAATCGGTAAGAATATTTTGAAAATTTTTAATAAAATTTAAATCAGATGTCGTTTATCGTACAAAGTTTCACTTGAAAGAGACACAGTGACTGAATTTAATTGTCTGTACAAAGCCAATAAAATAATTCTTTAGCTGATTGTAATAAAAACGTGATTGATTCTTATCGATTACTAAAGTTCTTATCATTTTTTATTTCGCTTCAGAACATGAGCGTAGTTTAACTATAATTGTAATTATAATTATAATTGTATGAAATTTTGTGGAAAAGCAACTGGAAATGTATAGATTTTGCAAGATTCGTAGGTCCATCCAAATCATTTTATTAAATAGTAAAAATTGAGATATACATTACTGTTTGCAAGAATAATAATTCATTAGATTCCATTTTAAAGCTTTGTATTTTTTAAATTCACTCAATCCTTTTATAAAAATCTTTTTTTCTTATGTATCATAACTCTTTCGTCTCAAACGTTCACTTTCCCTCCATTTTCTTGTTACTGTGTCATATAATAAATTCAAATTCAACAGAAAAAGTTGACAAAATTCTTTATAACACAATCGCGTAAATGTCGTTGATTTTATATTAATTTTCAAACGTTTACGCAAGAATAATGGTTTTTATATTGTTCTACGTGTAAAATAGCGTTTAATCTTCTATTTTATCTTAATTATTATTGCAATAAACTAAAGAGTATCGGTGATTTTTTTCAAAATAGTTCACCGACAAGCTGACTTCGTTTAAACGAACTTAAATTATTGAGGCGTGGTTACTTATATCGCAAAAACTGTGATTTATCCAATTTGCAGGTCAGTCGAAAAATAATTTTAATTTAGAACATGAGAAGCGTCGTTCTTTGCATAAATTGTAAAATATTCGCGTTTAATTTGCGCATTCTTGGTATACAAATGCAAAGGCGATGAATAATGCGGCGAAAGAAAATGGCGGTAATGAAACCACGAGTCGCAAAGTTGCGAACTGTAGACGGCGCCACTGTATGGGACGGAGTGGCGTGAAAAGTGTAATTTGCATCCATTTGTTTGCCGCAAATACGCACCAAATATGTAAAATTATCACGTTCACTCGTATTCGATCAATTTTTAAGCAAACATAAAGACGTGAAATAAAAATTTAAAATAAACACGACGTCTTAGATATTTTCTGCAACCGAAATTATTTTCGACCACAAAGGTGTTGTTTTTTTAACCAAGTTCGATCAATTACATATTTTTGTATTTTAGTAGAATATATTTGCATTGTATACATCGTAGGTTTTTATATTGCACACAATTTTTATTACTGGGAAATAATGCTGGGCGAAGAAAAGATCGACGAAAAATTGCTGCGATAAATTCAGATATAATTTAATTTCAGATAAAGTCAGATTGTAATGTCAACGATAAGAAAACACTGTAAAAGTGGGTGATAATAGTAAATTGAAGCACCGTATTATGTAAGCGATCTGCTACAAAATATTCGTATAATAGCGAAGAATAGTTAGATAAGCGCGGCTGAAAATAGGAAGATAAATATTTCGTCAGAGACCGAAATCGTTTATTCCACGATTTCGGTGAAAACGATACTCTTTTCTTCTCTACTTACTACTCCTACGTAAACCACATTTTCGTAAAAACTGCTCGAAAGAAAATTAAATATCAATCGTTAACTACTAACGCGTATTCCTGTGAAATATTACGAATTTACAGTCGTTCTTCAAATCTGCAGAAAATATTCAAGCATTCGTTGTATCAATATAAAACGAAAATCTAGAAAAGTGCAATAAACACCTAAAAATAAGGTAATACTCGATATCAAAAAATACGAATGGAAGCAGCAACAGAGCTACAATTTTCTTGTATAACTCTCTTCAGTTTCATAATTAATCTATTTTTATCAGACGCTTGATACAAAGTAACATTGTATTTTCAAATGAATAACTATAATTTCATGGAACCAGTAAGATATTGGGAGTGTAACAAAGATTTTTCCACTAAAAGTTACACTTTGTTTGGTTCTCCAGTTTGGAGCAAATCAAGTAGATACCGTTTTTCACGAATTTTGGTAACGAGTTTGTGCAATTTAAGGTGATAAGAACGTTGTGGAAAATATCCCGGAAACTTGAGAATTTTCATCGTGTCCCTTTGGCCCTTTGATTTACAAAATGGCGCGGCTTGGCCTGGGCGGCATTATGGTTTCCCCCATCCTATAGGGTGTAGCTCCATTCCACAAAGCCACCCTTCACGTGGGGTGAACTCCCTATCCCTCGCATGTTGAATAAGAAAGTGACAGTGGGGAGGGGATAAATGAAGGAAGGGTGTCCAAAGGGGACTCCCGGGAAATTCTTGGAAAATAGTATCGGCACGTGTCGGATCGCTGGTGGCGTCATCTGAGATTATACTCAGCATTTGTTCAACGAGTATGGCAATCTTGCGTTGGTAATGCAGTTCGTTTACCATAAGTTGGTAATTTCAAGATTTATCATAAATAATTGTTGCTTTTCTTTATGTTAACCCTTTCGCCGTGACAGATTTTAGTACGTAACACGCGTGACGGACGATAAATGTTCAATTATGGCGGCAAAATCTTACGTTTTGACGTTTTAAAATTTTTTAAAAATCTTTAAATTTATCGTTTGTAATTCTCTTTTGTTAAATCAAGGCGGAAGTGCGCGAAGGACAAAAGTCTTTCGCTTTGACGTTCCAAAATTTTCAAAAAATTGGCAATTCATAGTTTTTAAGTTTCCTTTATTAAGTTGAGGTAAAAGTGTGCCAAAAATTGTGTAAATATTGAAAACGCCCATAGACATCAAGGGCACGACGCGAGAAAATTTTCAAAGCGCCCATAGGCGCCAAGAGCAGCGAAAGGGTTAAAAAAGTGCTTTTTCAGAAAGTATGAACGATTATTTGCACATCTTTTATTCCTCCCAGAAATTTTCATTCCCATTACAGTTTCACATTTGCACTTGAGATTGGACAGAGCCTTGCTCCGCAGATTTCAGAGAACCTTGTTCCTGAGATTTCAGCGATCTAACAGATTTCAGCGATCTTACATCTCTCGATGCAGTACTGACGGATGGTACATCGTCCTCTTTGAACTCCTCGAGTAGTATCAGCTTGCCCATGAAGGCAGCCGAGTAATTTCCTCTTCCTGGATCGTCGAAGACAGCCTGATCGTTGCTCAGCCATGAACTGTAACGTATTTCCGAGAGAAGCTCGAAGCCTACGCTGTGCGCCCACGATTGGCAAACACCGCTGGTGAAAACACCACCGATTGCTGGCATTTTTAAGGTCACTGCTACCTGCACGCAAGCGTTCAGAAGCGCAATCTCGACACCTTTCTCTCGATAAGACGGGTGCACGCACAGAATGTATATGCAGAAATACGCTGGATGGCCGAACCTTTCGTGTGCATTAGCTTGAACAAGTAGCGTATTCGTTAGATGCATGATCTTGCGCAGAGTTTCTCCTTCCAGGATCTGTACAACGCGAATATGTCCTTGTTAGTATACGTTCGATAATTGAAGCGATTGTTCTCCCTGTTAATTGTCTAGAATTTCCTTTTAACATGCTTCTGTTGATCGGTGTCTGTTACGTGTTACCTAGAACTAGTTTCTCTGTGGATTGACTGGTCGTGGAGGTGCTGTGATGTAATTGCTGTTGTAGCATTAATAATTGTGAGCGTGTGAACACGAGCAATTTTTTTTGTCGTATGCATAAGTTGCTTGTGTGAACGATTCATGTGCCGATTGTTTCTTTGAAGGTATTTAAGGGGAAAACGGACGAGGATCCATTTTTCGGACGGATGTGCTTTTCATCGTAAAATGCAGTTCTGCATTTGGCAATGGGAGGAGAGATGGAAGGTCCAAATCTTTGCCAAATTTTTAAATCAAAATTTATAATTTTAATAATTTTTCAGTCTAATTTTTATTTTGAAATGTGTCATTCTAAAAATTAAGGTGGAAGTACGCAAAGAAGCAGACTCAAGGCTTAAGTTAAGGTGAACGTGTGCCAGAAAACGCCATTAACACAGTGCGAGAAAACTTTCAAAGCGCTTAAAAGCGCACACAGCGTAGCTCTTTAATATCAAAATTTGCTCGAACTTGATTAAAAATAACATTAAGCGGACACTCGTCCTTTCCCCCCTGTACTCTTAAGTTTCCTTTATAGTCATTCCAATAGCCTGAAATTTTCAATGACTTTGACTACGAACATGTTCCTATAACACAAGTTTGAAAACTCCAAGTTTCTCCGCAAGGTTACACCGACTTGTCGCCTTTCGACATCGATCGCAATCGTACCTGCGCACGGTTGTAAGTGTCCGTTTTCTCAGGGCTGCTGTTGATTCGCGCAACAGCAACTCCGATCACGCGACCAGACGCTGCACTCGTCGCGATTATGCTCGTGGTGTCCTTCATCCACGTACTCGCCAGCTCCAGATACTCGTTCACGGATGTCTCGTCCTGGAGCAACGAGGAGGCCTTGCACATAGGCTCCTCGCGAAAGAAGTGGTGCTGCAAATTCGTCAGATCACGTTACAACTATCGCATCGAACAGACAACTGGAACGTTGTTGAGAAGTGTGTACGACATTGTTCGCGGCTAAACTTTGATCAGCCGCAAAGCTTCGTCGTACTGCAGCTCTTTCAGGTCGATTATCTCGTATCTGGCTGGAGAATTCCATCGCAGAGGTGCTTTCATTCGCGTCTCCACTTGTAACGCGTGCTCGTCCTTATCCTCGACGTCCATTTTCTTGGACGATTTTCTCAAAAATTCAGCATGAAGAGGGAGTTGTACGATCGTGAAATTTCATTTCAAGCTTCGAAGCACGAAAGCGCGATGATACGAGAAGGTGTACAATTTTCGTCAATGTAAACTCTGAATAGAGAAGTCCCCTTTCTCTCGTTTCTATGGGAAGCAACTTCAGTATTGACATTTCTTGCAATTTTTGAGAGGCGTTACATGAAAATTGTGTGTACGTTAAATTGTCCAGAGTCACCAATCGAAATTTCTTTACGAGAATATCGAGGAGGGTGGAAATTACGCGATATTAAGCTAACGAATTTAGGGCGACGTATTTTACGCTAAGAATTAGCGTGGGGAATATTTTTTCAAGGCTGGTAAAATATGTACGGGTTGAAAGATTGGCGAACCGTGAGCTGGTGTCGGAAGAGAAGTTCAATCAAGGACAACGACTACCGCCTGTTCAGCCTCCGTATTGCGGAGATCCGGATGAAACGGCCGTACGATGATTTACCGTGTGCAGATGCGGCCATTGTGTGGCAAAGAGTATCGAGCGGTTATCGGATCGTCGATTTGGGGTTAAACAGATACATACAAGCCTTGAAATTTGTGCTAGTACATCGTCGCTCGAAGTACAGTTTGTTGCGCATGGAAAAACGTCTACTGAAATTCGTCTAATAGAAATCTGTGTACTTGGAAGTATATTCTAATTTTTTTATTTTAATTACTTGCCCTGAGAACCTCCCATTGTTTTCTTTGTTCGTTCTGAGAATTTTCACGGTTTCAGATTATACGCTTTGAAAAAGCATTGTGTTTCATTCGAGCGAATAAAATGATAACGAAGGAGGAAAAACTTACAAATTTGAATCATTTTTCCCTTTCAATATCCCAGACAATTCGTGTAAATTTCAGATTTGTGCGATTTCAGGTTTAAGATGTTGCAATTCTTTTGGCGGGCAATGTACACTACCGGCCAAATGGAATCACCGAGCATTGCAATTTACACAAATATTTCCGGAAAAAAGTCAGCGACTCTGAGAATTTTTCATCGTTCGAATCAATTGATATGAGATAAGCTTCAAATCTGTAAAAAATTAGCAGCAGATTTAATATCGATGAACAGTGGGAGGTGATTCCAAACTTTTGGCCGGTAGTGTATACCCCTATAAAGTTTTGTCGAATTTTCATTGTAGTGTATTTCTTCGTAATTAGCGAAATGGCAGTTTAACGATAATTGCAAATTACAAATGTTTCAGACGCACTTCTGCAGAACAGAACCACTGAACAATGCTATCGGTCTGTATGACGATGCAGTATCCATGAAAATGATGATGGAAAGGACTGCCATAAAAATAGAGAGCATGTTGAGCTTCTGTGCTCTAGAAGAGGGAACCGACGAGTTCGTTGGTGTGCTCATTGCCACGATCTTTGAAAAGTCGCAATGGTATTTGAAGAGAGAGGTATGAATTTCTTCATCCGTTAGTGAAGAACAAGGACAGAGAATTAACTGATCTCAAATCCTACATATCTATAAATTGCAAAAGTTACGAAGAACGTAATTAATCTGATGGAAAATTCATCAAAAATGGGAATCAACAGATATATTGTCTACAATTCTTTCTCAAACATTTCTGCACAAACTTTCCAATCAACGTGGACACGAAATTATATCGTATCGTTTCCTGCTTGTTAAAATTCCTTCCTTAATGACAACACTTTTTCCATCATAACGTCCAAGCTGAAACGTTTATGATTCACCGATGCTTCTGTTGACACAGCAAGGAGAAACGTTGCGACAAGTTAGGAAGCTCAAACTTCACGCCATTGCCAAGGCTAATTTTTTCAACACGATTGACGCAGATAAGTCCCTGTGTATCGACATTCTTTGTGTAAAGCCTGATCACCAGAAAAAAGGCATCGGTACCGCGTTATTGCGCTCCTGCATTGCTCGAGCGAGCAATATCGCCTCCGCTTGCGTGGGGCAATTCACTTCTAACGCTGCTCAAACTATCGGTACGTTCCGTTTTATTTTCAATCCTCCGTGAGCAATTTGGGCCTTTAACTGTCCAAGTGAAATTTTGATTTTTATTGAAAAAATTTTTAAGAATTTGACTTAACGAGCAATGTAGTGGAGACTTTGACAAGTGGTCGAGAACTTTTTCAGATTTTTTGAAAGTTTAAAACAATAAAAGAATTGGACTTGGACACAAACGACCCAGTGTGCCTACGGAAGATTAATAAGTTTGAGTTCAATGTCCTTTCTGTACGGGTTATTTTATTTTTAATAATCTTTGAATTCGACGACGATAACGTTTGCCTGAATTTTAAAACGACCAATCGATGTTTTTTCTGTTCACAGCCAAACGATTGCACTTCGAAGTAATCTACGAATTACCATACAAAGAATTGGAATTCGAGAACGTCAGATTTCAACCATTCGAAGAGTGCCATCCCAAGAATTATTCCATAGCTTGCATGGCGTTGCGAATTTCACCGCCACAGTTACCAATACCACCACCTCCTTCTCTATCCACAATAATTCCTCGATCAACGAGTAAGAAGAAAAATGCGAAGAAGAAGAAATAGAAACATTAGGTATCCTCTTTTACTTTATTGAAATATCTTACGTACATTCGTTTTGTTTCTCATGTTTCGAAGGATACCAATTTCGTGTCGTTTCACTCCGTGAAAAATTTCTGTTCGCCACGTATATAATTATCCTCTAACCGCAACGAAATGCTAATTTAACACGCCAAGTGCATTAAGGTTGTAAACTAATAGGTGCGTAACGACGGCGATCGCAGACCTTTTTCTAACCTCGTATGCAATTTCTGCAAATACTTCAGAAGGTATGTTACGCGTTGTACGTTTGTTATATTTCAATGCAACCGGAAATAGAATTTTCTACGCGAACGTTTAAGTGTCCTTTGTGTGTGTGTGTGTGTGTGTGTGTGTGTGTGTGTGTGTGTGTGTGTGTGTGTGTGTGTGTATGATTTTCTTTAACGGTGCGTTTCATTTTACGACGGTCATGAACGCTGTTCTCGAGACAGTTTTTACAATTCCTCTTTCGGCTGGCGATGCTTGCCGCTGTCGTCTAAATCCGGTCGTATCGGTAAACGTTTCCAGAAGTTCATTCTGTCCGGGTTAAGATTCTCCGACATTCGAATGTTGTCTTGTCCTATGTGAAGATACTCGAGGGACTCCGTTCTGACGGGTTTCCATTTCACGGGTATTTGTTCTGTTTCTTCGGGTGTGGGATTACTGAAACGTGATGAAATGTTTAGTGACATTCGTCCATAGTAACGAGGAACAGTGGATACGTGTGAAATTGCACGAAGATTTTTGAGAGTAATTATTTAAATAACAATCTGGTCAATTTGGAAAATTTCTTCTGAAATTCAGATTTAGAATATTTAGCGATAAATGAAAATTTAATGGTGACAATAGTTCACGATAACGAGTATCGATCCATGTAAACTTGAATGAAGATTTTTGAAAATAATTATTTAAATAGCAATCTGGTTAATTTGGAAGACAGAAAATTTCTTAAATATTGAGTGATCTGAAATTGAGATTTAAAATCACATCAGACACAAATGTTTCATGTTAAAAACGTGTCGATTGTGCAAACGTTGGCGCAGTTTCAAGAATATAACTCCGAGTGTATTTAAATCTATTTGCATAACAAAAATTTTGCTTTGTTTGTTAAAACGACTCACCCAGAATTAGCAAAATTATACCACAAGCTCGTAATCACATCGATCATCCTACGATCATCTTTGCTCAGCGGCACATCCTTGAACAATTGTTCTCCAACAGGGAACAAGTATTGAAGTTCGTCAGCGTGAGATACTCCGTAATCGTTGTTCGGATCGCCGAATATTATACTGAACGATGCGCTGCCCTTGTACGCGAGATAATAGTAATAAACCGGGGAAGATTGTTTTTCGAGATAATGGCGAACCGCAGTTTGAGCAGCATGAGTGAACCAAGCGTCGCTGTACATCTGTGAAATATCGAAGAAATCATCGAAACGCAAAATTAATCTCGCGTGACGTTTATTCAATTTTCCTTTACTTTATCATTGTGAAAATTTGTAAGTATATTCTGAATAAACAATTGAAAGAAACATATTGTCGTATTTCTTTCACAATGTATTTACTTTCAGCAAAGACTATAACTATTTTTGTATCGGTGTCTTTTTTAAAAATAACGTTACCAGTGTCCTTCGTCACGCGAACTTCAGTACGAGTCATTGATCCCGATAGCGAACGTGCTGAGAGAACGGGATAGCAATGTACAACACAGTCGTCAGAATGAAAAATTGACATTTATGTAAAGAGAAATTTCGTGGCACACTCACATCGATGACTTTGAACCGCGTGGAATTGTCGATGGCGGCCTTGCCGAAGTAGAATTCTCGTATTTCAGAGGCCATGCGCTTCTCCTCGTCCTTGGAACACGTTTCGCCGAACATCAACGTTATTGGTGCAACATTCAAGAAATCCTTGTTCATCCTTTTGATCAACTCCCCGTTGTTCCTTGCGTATAATCCTGATAAGGAAGATAAGAGTTCAAGTTAAAAAAGAAATGCTTCTAAGTGAGGTATTTTTATTTGAAATTAAAGTTATACTTATTTAACAAGAACAATGTCACGATTCAAAATAGGGCTGTTTTAATCCTTTTTTAACACTAACCGTACCGGCACTCTATGTATACTTATTATTATATTCTTCCGGAAGGAATACCGGTGATTGTTAATTTAATATAGAAAACAACGTAGAAAGTAGCTTTTAAATAATAAGAAAAAATTACACGTCAAATTTTAAAACCGGTCATTTGACCAGGCGTGGTACGGTTAGTGTTAAATAGTAGGTAATACACAAACAATATTTTACCAGAGATCCTAAACGTTCAAAGACTATTAGCTAGATTGTAATTAACCATTTCACTGTTACAGGTGCTTCGAAAAGGACGATGTTAAAAGAAGGCCAATTTTGGCATACGGCCGGAACGAAAAATTTTTTTACAACATGATCCTAAGGAACGAAAAATGTACAAGACCCTACAAGACTATAATCGCGCAGTATAAGCGACGTTCGTCGAGGCACTCGTTCGACAGCCTCGTAAACACCGACTGAGGACGAGTCGTCCTGCCCGATTTCTGATCGTGTACGCTCGCAACTGTTTTGGGAAAAATTCTAGGCCTTAACTTCTTCGAACTCGTGATATTTCTTGCGAGCCTGGGTCGCTGTACGTACATCGAGCCAAACATAAAGCTAGCTGTCCTTTTCAGAGTAAAACTATCGCGAGTTGCTCTCGAGAGTGTCTCTCGCGAGCGGACGCCGCGTCTGAGAGCATCGCTCAACTCTCTGAGAGTTACGACTCGAATAAACAGTTGCTTTGCAAACACGAAGCAGTTTCGTATTCTTGACAGTTTGTAATTTGTCATTAATTATTTTTGGTTTTTATTAAGCACCAATATACAACAATCTTTGTAAATAATACTCAATATGAGTTTCTAAGCGGTTAATTTACGAACAGACGGAATATGTATTCCCATCATTTCCCGGAAAAATGACAATTACATTTTTTCTTCCTTAGGATGCGTGGAATCATGCTGTAAATTGGCCTTCTTTTAACATCCTCCTTTATTCGCGTTATGCTATTGGAGCAATAGCATAATTAATTTTATCCTCTGCACTTTTCCACGTTAATTCGACGAAACAAATGTGTCAATTTCTGTCACTAAAATTTGCCGCGTCGAAAGGGTTAATGACCTTCTACCGCAATCGTTAAAAAATAAATTTCTCAGCGTTTAAAATATTCTACAATATGAAGTAGACTTTAAATAGTCGTATCGCTGTTCCAACAAATCGACGATATAACGGGGGAATTGATGATGTGCTTAGTCGGAAAATACCTGGTGCCACGAGGGCTCCTTCCTCAGACGTAATTCCTGTCATCCATGGTATGTCTAACAAGCGACCATGTTTCGACGAAACTGCGGGATCTTCGGTTAAGAAAGCACCGGGGTGAACAGGTTCAATTACCGGTCTGAAGGGTATCATCGGGCAGTAACCAAATACCTAATAGAAATTAGAAAGAGGAAGAGTGAATTCTGGTACACTGTTGCTGTTCTGAATAAAGGCCAAGATTACACGAACGAAAAATTCATTCGACGAAGTTTTTGACAATCTTCCAATTCATTGTTTCCAGCGTTAAAAAATAAGTTTATTAGTATTTAAAATATTCTAAATTCTTGAATTATAATTTTCTGTTTTTGAACATTATGAGCTTTAAAAATAAGGTAGTTAGTATTTAAAATCTTTAGAAATAAGGTAATTAAAATATTTTGAAATGTAGTTATTAATACATAATATCCTTCGTTCGAAAGCTTTCTTTTTAGGGGATGAAATCATAATTCTTAAACTCTAATTACATCTCAGATTTTTCACATGAAGTTTCTTATCGTGAATCTTATGATTTGTTATTGAAAGATTTTTAACGTTTCGAACGATAAAAAATGTTCCGTTCAAAAGTTTCCTTAAAAAGGGGCAAAATTATAATTCTTAAACTCCAATTAAAACAGCAATAATTAGACATTAAATTTCTATTGGACGTTTTAAGGTGATTGACGAATTTCTAAATAATTTGTTCCATTTCTAATTAACGAGAAGTCTCGAGCTCAGAGATCAGGCTGAAAAACTTTGTATACTTTAATCTCAGCCCGGTTTTTGCATCGTACTGTAAGCAAAGAGAAAATCACTCGGTCGCGTCTTACAAGATTCTTGCGCATGTCTGAATCTCCGTGAATTGCGTACAAAATTTACGTGTCGGAGGTAGAAACTTCTTAAAGAACAATGCAAGTCAATTTATTGCTTCATTTTATATCCACTTTCACTTTTACCTGTGCCATAATACACTTCGCTGAAAACCATCTCGCAACGGAAGATTTCCCTTTTTTCGCTTCGCGTATCTCACTTCACGATTAAAAGAAGAAAGGTCAATTAAAAATCGTCTTCGTTTCGTGAACATCGATTTTCGTTCGCGAGTGTTAAATGTACGCATGAACGGCCACGCATAATGTATTCACGAATGCACGAAACTGGTTTTTCCAGAAGTTCGGACCATTATTTACCGTGTGCGAGCAGTATACGTTATTTAGTTAGCTGACGCTAGATTTTTCCGATAAAAATAATCGGGAAAATAGTTTCTTCGAAATGTCAGGATGCTGTCGTGGGGATCGTGTTAGATCATCTTCGATAGAGATTTCATAGTTACTTCGACGTTAGTTAGTTTCTGATTGTCCATTTTAGTTTTGTCGAATGAACGTCGTTAATAATTGAACATGTTCGCTGTCACCAGAAAATGGATAACACGCTGGGAAATATATTGTGGAACGCGTGTGCTCCGTCGGTGGTTAATTTCACATAGTTACGTGAGTTCCATTTTTATTGTGCCGAATCAACGTCGAAAGTAATTCAACCCTTTCGTTTCTGTTGACTCTTTGAGAATTTTCTCGCGTTGTGACGTTGGAGGCTTCTGGCACACTTTCACCTTAATTTAATCCTTAATTCGTACCTCTTGCGCAATCCCACCTGAACTTAATAAAATGACAAATTTAAAAATTTTAATTTTAACGATCTTAAATTTACAAATTTTTGTATTAACAATTTCAAATCAAGAAAGTTTAATTTTAACATTTTAGCAATTTAAAATGTTTCAATTTTAAATATAAATGGACACGTTACAAAATTAAAAAGAAATTGTTAAACACCCAACCAAAAGATTTCACGTCCGCGATCGAACATCTATTGTCTGCCACACGAGATACGCACTAAAACCTGCCGCAGCGAAAGGGTCAACACGTTCACTGCCACCAGAAAATCGATAGCACACTGTGCAATACATTCTGCAACGCAGATGCTGCGTCGTTGGCAGCGAACGAGCTAACGGTCACTTTAACTTTACCCGTAGCCGTATGTATTAGTTTCTACGTCTCGATAATTTATAAAGCGACAGTGTCACGGTTCAAGCGACACCGTGAAATCTGTCTGCGTACAGAGCGTTGACAAGACCGTCGTAAAAATTCATTCGAGAATTGATGTGTCTATGCATTTGTTCATTACGTGAACTAATAAGAACGTTCAACGAGGAACGTAAGAACGTTTGTAATCGATGCATAATCATCTGTGGGGAAATCTGTGGAAATAATGGGAATATGAGTTATCGTTAAATGTTATGAAATCGCGGTTAGATTACGCGATTGCTTTTCGAATCGTCCAATTACATAGCTGTTAGGATACTTATGTAATAAGCATGAACTTATACATAATTCTAAACGAGTTGCATGCGACTTCAATGTCAAGGGTTAACGAGTCCCGCGCAATCAAGTAGTGCATAATAAGGTCCCGTTAATGCGGACTTGTTTGACGGGATACGTAACCTATTAATCTCTGTCACGTGTATTGTAGATCGACGAGGAATTGAAGAGAAAGAGAAACGCTGCGTTCTGAACTCGGTGATAGATACTGTTCAAGCTTATCTTAATGATTTGCAAAATCCATTGGACGTGTATATTTAGAATTTAGAATTTATATTTAGTCAAGCTGATGTTGCGATCTAGATAAAAAAAGTGATGAAAGAAAAAATGGAGAACATTAACATTGCTGTGTGCGAGCTAAACGAAGAGAATTAATCACTGATAATGTTAATTATGATTTACGCGTTAAAGAGTTACACGTTTGACTCTTTCGTGCGTGGCAGACGGTGAATCTTTTGTTTTGGCGCTTTTAAATTTAAGGAAATTTTAAATCGAAGTATTTTGAATTGAAGAATTTCAAATTGTTCAGATTAAAATTCTTAATTGCAAATTATTCAAATTAGAATTCTTAATTTCAGATTGTTGAAATTAAAATTTTTAATCTGAAATTATTAAAACTGAAATTCTCAATCTGAAATTGTTCAAATGAAAAATTTTTAACCTGAAATTATTAAAATTGAAATTCTTAATTTCAGATTAAACTGAAATTCTCAATCTGAAATTGTTCAAATGAAAAATTTTTAACCTGAAATTATTAAAATTGAAATTCTTAATTTCATATTTTGAAAATTTCCGAAAATTTCAAATGATCAAAATTAATTATTTATCATTCGTAATTTTATTCAATTAAGGTAGAGGTGTTCAAAGCATTAAATTAAGGTGGAAGTGCACCAAAAGATAATACAGCGCAAAGAAACTTTCGAAACTCCTATACGCGCCGATAGCAACGAAAGGGTTAAAACTCATTGTTCTTCGCGAAAACGAAAGAATCTTCGCGCGATACAACGAGGCGTTGTGTAACATTTGTAATACGGATTATTCGGTAAAAGGAGATTGTACATGTTGCGCGGTAAATCCGGATCAAGTTGAAATTCAGATTAACGAGTAGTTACCGTGTTTTGCATCGTATCGAATGATCGACAGTCCAAGGACGTCTCAGTTTTATCAGTTTATTTGTTAAATGCACGCGCGGGAAACGCCTTAACGTGAAACGATTGAAGCCAGCGACTGGTAAATCTGTGCAATTGGACAGCTGTCAGTAGATAGATATGTAGATAATATGATGCAGGCGGACAACCACCATATCCCACGTGTGGATTACTACACGGTAGGATAATTAAAGCGATCGAGTACGAAAAGAAGATCGATTGCGAAAGATAAATTGTAATTTCAAAAATCATGTACATATCTACGAGTCCCTTTTCCTCGGTATCGTAAATCAATCGTTTATCTTTTCACTAATCAAGGACCTCTTAAGATCTCGAAACGATTCGCGAAATAATCTTGGTGGTTATTTTGATCGATTCTTATTTTCGGCTCTTTTACGAAGATTACAAGTAATCTGCTCTAAACTATTGACTGTTCTCGTTAATTGTAACTAAAAGTAATTCAATTCTCGTTCTACATAATTTTGCATTAGCATAAAACAATCTTTAAAGGATTACTTTTATATATGCATTCGTTTTGTAATTTAAGTATCACAATGGAGGTGTTAATATTATTTCATTCGGATTAACACCACATGGTACTGAGGCGAGTGAGGAACGTCGTTACCCTGTTTTCACCTCAATTTATTAAAGTACAAAGTTATGGTCGTACGGGCGTGCAATTGGCCCGGGAAATACAATCGTTTATTTTGTTACTCGTCCCGGCGGCAGCGGTTCGGCGGGTACGTCGCGATGGTCGGTAAAGGAGAAACTGTCCCGAGGTGTAGGCGTACTCGGTTTTTATATTGTTAGGACAGGGAGACAGGAGTAGCGATAGATAAAGATAGAAGTGGAGAAAGTGGTGGAAACGGAAAATTCGTGGAAAGCGGGCCGTTCGTCCTCGTGCGAACCTGGATGCCACATGTGCGCTTCTTAGGCCACTCGAGGACGAAAGCAAGTCTTAACCCGGGGAGAGACAAAAGAACGGAAACTAAAATCTGAAGGAGTTGGAAAAGAGAAAGTTCGCGTGGAAGAATAGAACGAGGTTTGGTAAGGATTTGTTGACGACGACGTACCCGCCACATGGTACGATTCGCAAAGAGGATAATAATTGCACTTACCTGGAACGAACGATCGGTAGCAATAATGTCGAAGGCTTTCTTCGTACGCAAACAACTAACGAGCTGTTTCGAGTCTTTCGAAGGACAACCAAGAAGTTCAGCCACCTTCGTGGCCTTCTTTTTCGGCGAACCTGGCCTCGCCAGAGTCCACGGACAGTGTGCATTACCGCTTTGCGAGATCGCGCGGTGGAAAAGGCCTGTTTGAAATCACGGAAAACGTGAAAATGAAAACGCCGCATTATGTGATTTTTCGTGGTTAACCAAAGACCCTGGGACTCTGTGCGCGGCACGATTATTCCACGTAATTGGACTTTTTTTCCCGATCGTTTAATTCTGACCTTCAATGCCTTTTCTGGACTACCGGTTTTCCCCGATACACTCACGAGAATTCATTTTTACGTGCACGTATAATTCGTACCTCTTGTGAAACTTAATTTTTAATGATTGTTTAAACGTAGATATTGTGTCGCTGATAGTGTACCGTTGAAAATCTGGACGACACTTTGTGCAGGTTAAATGTCTGGAGTTAGTGTCGTATTTTTATTGCCATCGTAAAATAGTATCTTGGAAACGATAATTATTCATATCTGACCTTAAAGTAGCACCAAATTAACACTCCTTTGAAATATGGAAGAAAATACTATCCACGTGCGTGTAACTTGTCGTAAATTTATCGAAATCACTGTGAAATCTTAGGACTGTTTCGATAATTTTGTTGCAAACGTTTGGACAATAGATTTTACAGTTCGTTGAGCTCCGTTAATTTTTCTCGCGACACTCGTTAAATTTTATAGTTTCGAGTGAATGACTTTGGAAAAGGGTCGAGTCCATTCGACTAAAGTTAGGTACTTATAGACAAAGATAATTTTTAACAATTTTTACAAATAAAACAGCTACTCAGTCTTCCCTATTTCCACGAAACGATTAATCATAAATACCTTTCGTTAAATTACTCATCATGTGATAGTGAACACTGGCGCCTCCCGCGCTTTCACCAAAAATGGTCACTCGATTTGGATCACCGCCGAAAGCAGCGATATTTTCGTGTACCCATCGAATGGACAGCGCTTGGTCCTTTAAACCGTTATTTCCAGGCAACACCGTGTCCTCTGTGCTTAAAAATCCTAGTGGTCCAAGCCTGTGAAATATCATTTAACCCTTTAGGCTCGACATACCTTTTTTTTTTTTACAGTAAACTAACAATTCGAAGCTACTTTTGAGAAGCCAAATCAGGAGCCAAAGTGATTAACTCCGTCAAATGAAATTTATTAAATTTCTTTCATTTATGAAGAGTTTAAACATCATGCATGTGCTTCGATACTGAAATTGGAAGAATTTCAAAATCATTTTGCAATATTGTCTGAAAGTAAACGATATATGTATACAATTGACCTGTAATTTTTACCTGTAATTTACAGTGACGAGGATCATATCGTGGTTCAATAGGAATTTTGGATGATAGAATTCCGAGTGTCCAGCACCACAGATCCAGCCACAACCGTGGAGCCAAATCATAACTGGATAACCTCCCTTTAATTCGTTAATCTCATTCGACACTTTCGGCGTGTAGACGTTCAAGTAAAGGCAATCCTCATCGCCGACGATCTCGTCGTCGTGAGTGTAAATGTTCCTTTGCGTGCATATTTCCGCGTCTTCCTTAGCTGATCGCTGACCGTTCCAGGCTGCTGCTGGTTTCGGCGGCTGTCCAAAAATATACATTCCTATTAAACATTATTGTTCGGGTATGAAACGCTTTCAACCTGTTAGTCATGTTCGTTGCACAAGTAAAAACGTTTCCAGTGCACGTGGTTACAAACAAAAGTAAAGAGGATATAAACTCGTAGCCTCGATTCATCGTTTAACCCTTTCACTGCTGACGGTGCCTGTAGGCGCTTCGAAATTTTTATATCTTCCTGCACTGTGCCCTTGGCGCCTGTATAATTTAATACCTCATTTCTGCCCTTGCACGCTTCCGCCTTAATTTAGTAAAGTAATAAATTGACAAAATTTAAATTTGAAAGAATTACGATTACCGAATTCCGTTTGACCGACTAAGTTTGATTTAATAAAACTGAAAATTATTGAAATTTGACTGAAAAAATTGATCATTTTATTAAAGTGCGCAAAGGGCAAAAATGAAGTACTAAATGAAGGCGAAAGTGTGCCAAAAGCCTTCAGCAACACGTTGCGAAAGAATTTTCACGACGCCTATAGACATTTAAAAAACTTCAAATATGCCTCGGCGGAAGGGTTAATATCGACCGTTAGAAAATAAGGAAAATAAGGATTAAAAACTGGTTGAACCGTTTAACGTCGGTGGTTTCGTACAAGCGAAATAAACTTCCTTCTCCATTTTTTCAAACAAATTATACGCACGCGGTACGCGAGAGTTGAGGTGAACTTTAAGGCAAGGTGTTTAAAAGGCGAGAGTGTATTGACAGGTATACAAATGTTTGGAGGAAACGGGAAACCTGCAAGCCTGTGAAGACTAATGTGGTAGTTCTGTTCGAAGGAAAGAGGCAATTTATGAAGAAATCGTATCGAGAATCGTAGGTGGAACTGAACCGTGTTGTGCACTTATCTCGTACGAATTAAGATTATGAATAGAATCTAAATAAATGACAAGGTGAAGTGATCGTGGTTGTTAATATTTCCAACGAGAACTGGTCTGTCTACGGGGGGAAATACGAATTCCTTCGTCTCGGATTAGAATCACAAGCTGTCGGAGTTGTTTAATGTATTCACGTGACTTTCGTAACTAAATGTGAAATTACATCATTGGACGCGTTAACGAGAACGGGTTTTTCAGTTTCAGTTGTGAGAAAGAAGAACTGTCTATTCGATACTTTTCCACGGATTTCAAAGTACAAACTCTACTGAAATTCATCAACGATTGCTCACGAAACGAAAATGCTTCTCGCACACGTTCCACGTAAAACCGTCTATTGTGTTTGCAACGTTACACAACATTTGTATAGAAACGGAAGATTCGATCAAACTAGTTTTTTACGTTAAGAATTATCTCGCACGAGTAACATTAAACGCGACAAATTGATTATTGCACAAGCTTTTCTCCCTTCTTTCATGGTTGAACACAGTTTAAAGTGTGTAACTTGTTTTGTTAGCTATTCATCGGATAACTTCTTTCTTCGCCATATAATGGAATCATTGACAAGGAAAATATCGCGGCGTTAGGAAATCCTTTATGTAACTATGTCTGTGCGTGGATACACGTGCTCAGAATACTTCCTCTTAAGTTCATCCTTAATACACAATTAATACCATTATCCGTCACTCACATTTCTATCTCTTCTCGCTCGTTTTTCTCTGTTACGATGTTGCAAAATTCTGAACCGAGAGAAATGTGCTACGTAGCAAGAAGCCTCTATTCCAAGCAAATTACCACGTTAACCGATGATTAATAGCGAACGGGGATAAAAATTAGAAATTTTCTCTGTGCGATAAAAAGCGGAGATCTTCCGTAACTTTGTATCACAATTCCAGACACACTTTCACATTTGCATAAGTTCCTTTTAATTCGCCGATCAAATCGTGAATGTTGTCAAGTTACAGGCGGAAAAGTCAAATGTTTATGTTATTCTGAAATAGGGGAATACCGCATTTTTCAGTGATCGGGATTACTCTTACAGGATACCTTGATTAACAGAAGAAGTGACAGATTTGATATTTGAAAAAGTTAACATACGTGTCTCGATTAATTTGAAATTGTTCACTTTTTTCTTTTGGAAATATTTGAAAATTTATTATCT